TTTTGCAAACTTTCTCAATATGTCCAAATTGTTTACAGGCCCTACATTGAACTCCAGGCCTATACCAATACTATTTAGGAGAATGTCCCTTCTTTTTTGCAGTGAGGACAGAGAGCATACTTTATACCTTTACTTCCATTTTTGCTTCATTCAACCTGTTTCTTTTCAAAATGTTGTTTTTTTCATTTCAAAGCTCGTTTAAGCTTTATGTTTAACAAACAATGTTCCTTCAGTTTGCTCCTCCTGCCTAATAAGCCTTCTTTGCTTAGTGGCTCAAAGCGCATTCACCAGCTCTGACAGAGTTATCGAAGACATGTCTCTCGAGTCTTCAAGTGATGAAATCTTTGCTTCAAACTTCCCAGGTAGGCTTAATAAAACCTTTTCCACTACCCTTTTATTAGGCAGATCATCCCCCAACAATTTTATTTGATTTACCACCTTCATCAGCCTATTTGAGAAATCCTTTACAGTTTCTGAATCATTCATCTTTAAAGTCTCAAACTCCCTTCTAAGATTCAACAATTGCATTTGCCTCGTCCTTTCATTACCGTGGAACTCTTCTTTTAATCTATCACAGCTTCCTTTACAGTTGCACAATTCATGATTCTTGTGAATATTGCATCAGAGACAGCAGATTGAATGCAAGAGAGAGCCTTGAACTTCATTGCAACCTCCTCACTATGCTTCTTCAACTGAGCAATGTGGGATTTGTTCTAAGAGGTGGAGGCTCAATTCCAGTTTTGGTGATTTCCCACAAATTGTAAGTCTTCAAATATGCCTTCATTTTTGCAGCCCAGAAATCATAATTCTCTCATGTGAAGGTAGAAGGTAAAGGTGCTAAAAAACCACTTGAAGCCATCACACTTATTCTCAAATCCCTCGGCTATTGATGGAAGGTAGCTTGCTGATCTTCCTTTCCAAATCCCATCGTACAATTTTCACTTCCCTTTCTAAGATCAAGACTGCTCTGATACCACTGAAGGATTATTGATTCAAAGAGAATGAATGTTGAACTTCATTTTTAAAACGTCTAAAATTTATAGGCTGGTTCATTACATTACCTAATATATATTTCATTACAAGAAGTTTCTAGCACCAATGATAGTCAACAGCTCCATACCTACTGCAAGTTAACTTGTTGACAACTTTTCTAATGATTATACAAAAACCATACTTATGAAATATTTCAAAAAGTTACACTACCAACTATTGTCCTTAATTCAATTGATTATAGGTACAAAAATCATCATACTTTAGCAACAAAAGTGTCAATCGAATCTCAACAGAGAGTCAAATTGTTTGAATAATTCTTCAATTTCGGGGGCATTGGATGCCTTGATTTTATTGAAGTTCTTCATAATTGATTGCTCATTTCAAATAAATCGTCATCTTTGTTTATAATCTCAACTTCATCTATCTGGTTAAACTGCTTTGAATGCAATGGCTTTATCATTTTTCCGTTGGTTTAGATTCATCTCATATTGTTTGAAGTCTTTTCGTGATCTTTGAAATACTACGCGTGTCCTTCTTCCACGGAAATAATCCTATGCTTTTAGATCTGAGCCACTATAACCTTATTAAAACTTACTTTTGGATTGCTCTACCATTACATACTCTTTGGACTTGACTATGGCTTAACCATAACATCAGTGGTTTCATACAAATAAGCACAATTTACATGAACCCGAGTTATGCTACATGTACAAAGTTGGGTTACAAAATTAGTTGACAAAATAATATCTACACCAA